CGGGGAACTTTGAGCCGTTTTTCCTGCCGTGGGGTTTCCCGTCTCCTGGTGGTGGCCTCCGCTCACCTCATTATTTTCTGACGGACTTGTTTCATCAGATCCATTTTCCATCTCTACTGGGTTTTCTTGAGTGATGTTTTCCTCCGTGATGTCTGCATTCCCCTGGCTTTCAGCCTGTTCCATCTTGTCCGCTTCGGCCATTGCCGAATCTTGAGGTCTCTCGTCCTGCTCCTCAATTTGTCTCGTCTGGCCCGCTTTTGACTTGATTCTCCAGTCTTCTAGTGTAGGTCCGGTGTACAGTTTTAACTTGTCATAGTGCACCACTTTAGGTTTCGTCCGTGGTTTCTCTTGAATACGAAAGGTTACATCAGATAGCTTCTCTGTGACCAGGTACGGACTCTTCCACTAGAATTGCAGCTTCGGCGAGAGACCCTTTTTCCTTGCCGAATTGTGCAACCACACAAACTTGCCGCTTTCAATGCTCTTCCCCGCAACACGCCTGTCATAGTTACGTTTTTGCCACTGATGGCTTGCTTTGATGTTCTTCCTCGCCACTTCGTGTGCTTGACTCATTTTCTTTCGATGGTTCTGCACGTAGTCCGTACTTAGTGGATCTTCTTCCGCAGTTGGTAACTCTGTCAGTGCATCTAGAGGCAGTGCAATCTCCCGTCCCATTAACATGAAGTAAGGGGACTCCGAAGTGCTGTCTTGCGCTGCGCTGCGATATGCCATCATGGCATAGGGAAGTTGCTCATCCCAGTCTTGCTGATCGGGCCTCAGTATGACACTCACTAAATCCACCAAACTCTTGTTGAACCTTTCAATGAACCCGTCTGATTTGGGGTTCCATGGGCACGTGCGGGTCTGGTCGATCCCTAGCAGCTTGCATATTTCTCTAAACACCGCTGACTGGAAGTTGGTCCCTTGATCACTGTACGAAAGTGTCTAAGCGTTAAATTGGTATAGCGCCCTCTCGTGATTATGAATCTAGAAAATTCCAAAGTGATTCCAATTTTAGTCACATTTGTCCTGAAATCATTCCGATAAACCTCGCAATTATTCCTTCAATCAAACGTAAAATCCCAGGTTAACCCAAATTTTCCTAATCATCTGTATGCCGTCCATCAGCGGCTGTGCGTAGAAGCTAACAGTGAGTAGATTTATAGATGATTTTAAGGGATATTTTGTGGGGGGTTTTGTAATGGATAAATAACGTGGGTTTCATCACATGTTGTTTTATGGGTACATGTACGTACATTTTATTGATCTTTTTACTAAGGATTATGCCCTTATATTTAATCATTATTGCTGGTTAATTGAGTGTAATTTGGGGCTTATAATAGCTTATCTAATCCCTCAGTTTGTTAGATAATTTAGTTGATACTTGGGGAAATTATTACATGAATCTTAGTCCATTTTCATGTGTTTTTCATGTCACCTCATTAATGTAGGTTCCAATATTTATTATTGTATTAATTTGGTTTTCTTGTAGAACCACGGCCTACCACACGGCTTACACAACCTCCATTGCAGTTCACGGCTCCCATTCCACGGCTTAAAGTCTTCATCAGTAAATTAACCTAATCAGCTCAGCTACTATCTTCATCATTGTAATTTGAGAACAATCAGTAATTAAAGGAGAGCAAATCAACCAATCATAGACTCGTCACCAGTCTCCTGTCCTGCACTTTCTTTCATGGTCCTTCGAACCGGATCCTCTACACCAGCGACCTGCGGATTTTACCACAATGTCTGAACACCATGCCGATGATGTTCTGGCCGAGGAGAACCGAGATGAGTCTGTTGCCTCAAAGCACTCCGGCAGCCAACGCACTAATAGCTCATCAAGTTCCCGTAACTCACACCTATCCGGTCTTAGTGATAAGGATGCAGCTAAGATGCGAACACTCAGAAGAAGAATTCGTCTTAACGAGCTGGAGTGCCAACTCCAGGAAGATCAGACCGCTGATGAGCAACTTCGTAAACTTGACGAGCAGGCCCGCTCTGCCCGACTTAAAGCTGAAGAAGTGGAGCGACAGGCATTGCGAGAGCGTGAGGCCCTCACCTCCAAATTATCCCGTCAACGCAGAGTGCGGATTGCTCGTCAAGAACTCTGCGAGGCTGAAGCCATCAGTGCCATGTTGAATAACGAACCATCACCATCACATCCTTTAATGGGTACAGACGATCAGTCACCCCCACAGGGTGCATCCTCAACTCCACAACCAGACATGCAGCAAACATTCACAAGTGTTTCATCCTCTGTTTGTCATGGTAATCCAAGTGCTCCACTTGTGACATCTCACCCAGACATTCAGCAAGCACCCCCATGTGTTTCCTCCTCTGTCTGTCATCCGACTCCATCTGGTGCCCCATCCTCGACCTCACCACCGGACATTCAGCAAACACTACCCTGTGTTTCGACCTCTGTTTGTCATGGTGCCCCAGTGAGTGCGACCTTACCCGCATCAGTGGTAACCAGTGATGTCACTCCAAGACAAGGCATTCCTACTCCAGGGACTTGTCCTCCGCACTTGCCATACCCAATGGCTTCTGTACCCTCCTTAACGGTGTCATCAGCACCAACCGTTATGGATCTCCTTGTTGCATCATCAATCGGGATCCCCAAACCTACTCTGCCAAAGTTTTCTGATGGGAAGGAGAAAGAATTCGCCCTCCTCAAGCTGGCTTTGGTGAACCTCATTGATGTGCATCCCCATCTTTCCGAACAGTATAAGTTCCAAATACTGATCGACAGACTTGGTGGTCGAGCATTAAAGCTTGCCAAGTCATTCCTGTACGCCAGTCAACCGTACACCCAGGCCCTCCAAGCCCTCACTGGCAAGTATGGACAACCCAGACAACTCGTGCAGAGTGAAATTGGAGCCATCATGTCCACTCCTTCAATCAAGTATGGAGATACAGATGCATTTGATGACTTTTCTCTTGATGTTCTGTCACTCGTTGGAATGCTTCAAGCCTTGGAGGGCGCAGAGGGAGTTGAACTTCGATGTGGATCACATGTCGATCATCTGCTGGGAAAACTGGCCCCCTCTCACCGAAACAGTTTCATGGAGCATTGCCTGAAGAAGGGCATACTGGAACCAAATAGCAGCAAGACATACACCTTGCCCCAGTTTGCAGAGTGGCTTCGCACAAAGTCACAGTCCCAGAGCTTCGCAAGTAGAGCTGTATCAAGTCACATCTCAGCAGGCTCTAAACCAACCCACCAACAAAGCCAGCACCGAGCCCCAAAGAAGGAGGTTTCCACAACTGTGTTCATGGCCTCACCGAACACAAAGGACAAACCCAAGTTCAAGCCTAAACCATACTGTCCCTACTGCGACAACAAGGAGCACTTCCTCGGTGGCTGCCCAGAGATCAAGAAGTTGAGCACCGACCAGATCATCCAATGGATCAAAGACAAGGGACGTTGTTGGAAATGTGGGCGAACCCATAAGCCAGAGGACTGCACATTGAAAAAGCCTTGTCATACCTGCAAGGAAATCCACCTCACTGTACTACATGATGCCGCCAAGAAGGCAACCAGTCATGTGTATAGGCTCCAGACGTCCAACCAAGCAGTCTTCGTGGACAAACCAACTCGCCCCCACAACGTCATGCTCAAGATTCTCCCAGTTACCCTTCATGGTCCAGGGGGATCCATCGACACATACGCCATACTGGATGACGGTTCTGAAAGAACCATGCTACTCCAGTCAGCAGCTGTCAGACTCAAGCTTCATGGCAACCCAGAGACTATGTTGCTCAGGACTGTTCGTGAAGACATTGTTGAATGTCAAGGCCAGTCTTGTACCTTCCAGATGTCAGCTAGAGACAAACCTGAAGTGATGTACACTGTAACTGGAGCCTTCTCGGCCAGTAACTTGTGCCTGTCCCAGTACACATATCCTGTTGAAGATCTGCAACACCGCTACTCCCATCTCCGTCACCTTCAGTTGCCTGTAATCAATAATGCTTCTCCACAGGTCCTCATTGGATCTGATCAGGCGGATCTCATCGTGGCAAGACATCCAATCAAGTCTGGCACACGTGGAGCTCCAGTTGCCATCAACACTAAGCTGGGTTGGACCCTCCAGGGACCTGTTGGAAACCAGAAGCAGATGAAAGAACAGAAGGTTTTCAAAACTTCTCTGTTTCCACAAACTACCGACATCATGCAGCACGTGGAGAGGTTGTGGCAGGCTGATGTGCTACCGTACCTGAATGACAAGCAAGCTACCCGCTCTAAGCATGATCAGCAGGCAGTCCAGATGCTTGAGGCCACAACTCAACGCGTTGAAGTCAACGGGATATGGCGCTACGCCACTCCGCTCCTTAGGCAAGGGGACGAGACGAAATTCCATGCCCCGAAAGAGGCAGTGCTACCGACTCTGAAGGGGACCGAGAAGAGACTCGACAAATACCCACAGCTTGCTCAGAAACACAACGAGCTAATCGCCAAGTTGGTCGATGCGGGTCACGTGAGGATCTTGCCAAAGGATGAAGCAGACAAGTCCGAAGAATCCTGGTTCATCCCACACCATACCGTATACCACAACGGAAAGTATCGACTAGTATTCAACTGCTCCTTCCGGTACAACAACCAGATCCTTAATGAGCACCTTCTGCCAGGGCCAACACTTGGTGCATCACTCATAGGTGTACTACTCCGCTTCAGACAACACGCAGTAGCGATCTCAGGAGACATCAAAGCGATGTTTCATCAAGTACGCCTCCTACCAGAAGACCGATGCCTCTTCCGATTCCTGTGGCGCAACCTACAAGTCGACGAAGAGCCAGACATCTACGAATGGCAGGTGCTTCCCTTTGGCTCGACTTGAAGTCCCTGCTGTGCTACCTATGCTCTGAGAAAGCACGCCTTTGACCATGAGAAGGACTATCCAGAAGTTGCAAAGGCAGTCGACAAGTCCTTCTACGTTGACAACTGCTTGCAGAGTCTACCGGTCGAGACAGATGCCAAAGCCCTTGTCCAGAAGATGCGAAACCTGCTTTCTGACGGTGGGTTTGAAATACGACAGTGGGCCAGCAACGTTCCTGCTGTAGTAGAAGATCTCCCACCAGATGCCCGTTCTGATGGCTGTGAGCTGTGGTTAACCTTCGGGGAGACCAATTCCACTGAAGGCACACTTGGAATGTTGTGGGAGTGCAGTTCAGATGCCCTGCTGTACCGCCACAGACCCATCAGCTATGACTGCCTCAACATGAGGAATATGTATAAGATCCTCGCGAGCCAGTACGACCCTATAGGGTACCTAACCCCATTTACAGCCCGAGCGAGAGTCATTGTCCAAGACCTGTGGAAGACGAAGCGCAACTGGGATGATCCACTTGAGCCGGGTGATATCAGAGACCAGTGGCAAGCCTGGGAGAGTGAACTTCCCCACCTGACTGGAGTGAAGCTTAACAGATGCTACACACCACCAAATGTCAAGACAGAGGCTGCCCATCGCCAACTTCACATTTTCTGTGATGCATCGGAGAGAGTTTACGGAGCTGTGGCTTACATCCGAACAGAAGATGAAGATCACAACGCCCATGTTAGCTTCATCATGGCCAGGTCCCGTGTTGCCCCCAAACGGCAACTCTCAATGCCTCGTCTAGAGCTCTCTGCAGCCTTAGCCGGTGCCCAATTAGCTGATCTTGTCCAGAAAGAGTTGACTCTCCCTCTTGATGAAGTCATCCTGTGGAGTGACTCGACTACTGTGCTCACCTGGCTGCAATCAGAATCCTGCCGGTATAAAGTGTTCGTTGGCACCCGTGTCGCAGAAATACAGACCCTGACCGATGTTGACAAGTGGCGGTATGTCGACACCAAGAACAACCCCGCAGATGACCTTACGAGAGGCAAAACCCTGGTTGACCTCAGCCAAGCCAACAGATGGAGAGATGGTCCTTCCTTCCTCCGGTTGTCTCCCGACACATGGCCAGCTCACCCGTCTACACAGACAGAAGACCCATCTGAGTTCAAGAAGTCAACCTTCTGCGGTGCTGTGGTCGTCATTCAGCCCAATTTACCTGATCCATCCGAACATGACACCTGGAGTGACCTTGTTGCAGCTACCATGCAGCATCTTCATGGGGCGGCCGAGGATGCTGATCCTACCAAGTTGGTTGAACAACGGGTAGAAGCCGAGATGTTTCTTTATCAGCGTGCTCAACAAGATTCCTTCCCAGAGGAGATTGCTTGCATCCAAGCAGGCAAAGAGCTCCCCCGTGGTAGCAGACTCCTGCAGCTTGCTCCAGAGTATGACGAATCTTGCGGCCTCATCCGAGTGGGAGGACGTCTTCGTCGTACCCAAGATCTACCCAAAGACACCAAGCATCCCATCGTGATGAATCCAGCTCATCCCATAACAAAGCTTATCATCCGTGACTACGATGAGAAGTTGCTCCATTACGGACCTGAGCGCATCCTGGCAGAGATCCGACGTAAGTTTTGGATACTACGCGGAAGAGAAGCAATCCGAAAGCATCAACGCCAGTGCTTCGAATGCCAGAAGTGGAGAGCTAGCCCTCAAGTTCCGAAGATGGGAGATTTGCCTCCAGCACGCCTCCGCCTCTTCAAGCCTCCCTTCTACTCAACAGGGGTAGACTGTTTCGGTCCAATGACGTGCAAGATTGGGAGAAGGAGCGAGAAGCGTTGGGGGATCATATTTAAATGTATGACCACCAGGGCCATTCACCTTGACCTACTAGACAGCCTCGATACTGACGCGTTCTTGATGGCCTTTAGACGGTTCATCTCCAGAAGAGGGAAACCATTCGAGATCCTGTGCGACTGTGGCACTAATTTCAAAGGAGGTGATAATGAGCTACGGGACGCCTTTGCTGCCATGGATCCCATCTTACAGCAGGAGCTTGCCAAGCACCAGGTCAAGTTTGTGTTTAACCCTCCGAAGGCTCCACACTTTGGAGGAACCTGGGAACGGGAGATCAAGTCCGTGAAAGATGGCCTGAGAGTTGCCCTGAATGAGCAGTCCGTCCCTGAGTCAGTACTTCGCACCGTGCTCATTGAAGTCGAGGGAATCTTAAATTCCAAGCCTCTGGGGTATGTCTCATCTAATGTTGCAGATCCCGATCCAGTCACTCCAAACCTTCTGCTGATGGGGCGGCATGATGCGACTCTCCCTCAGGTTGTCTATCCTGCAAGGGATCTACTTGGCAGACGACGCTGGAAGCATAGTCAGGTCCTCGCTGATCACTTTTGGTCCGGGTTCGTCAAATCCTACTTGCCGACTCTCCAGGAGCGCCAGAAGTGGCATACAGACCGTCCGAACCTGACCACCAATGATGTCGTTATGATTGTCGACCCAGCACTCAGCAGAGCTCAGTGGCCCATCGGAAGAGTTGCAGAGACCTTTCCGGGTTCCGACGGTCGTGTCCGCACTGCCAGCGTGAGCGTTCGAGGTAAAACCTACACTCGCCCAGTGGCACGACTGATTAGGCTTCCGGAGGTCAGTGACGACAACCTACCCGATGGTGAACCCGACAACACCTAAACTGTTAACTTGTATCAATACTCTTGTGATTCTTAGGGACACTTTCAGATTTAGTAAATTTTATGCTCAAATTTAGGGGCGGCTGTACGAAAGTGTCTAAGCGTTAAATTGGTATAGCGCCCTCTCGTGATTATGAATCTAGAAAATTCCAAAGTGATTCCAATTTTAGTCACATTTGTCCTGAAATCATTCCAATAAACCTCGCAATTATTCCTTCAATCAAACGTAAAATCCCAGGTTAACCCAAATTTTCCTAATCATCTGTATGCCGTCCATCAGCGGCTGTGCGTAGAAGCTAACAGTGAGTAGATTTATAGATGATTTTAAGGGATATTTTGTGGGGGGTTTTGTAATGGATAAATAACGTGGGTTTCATCACATGTTGTTTTATGGGTACATGTACGTACATTTTATTGATCTTTTTACTAAGGATTATGCCCTTATATTTAATCATTATTGCTGGTTAATTGAGTGTAATTTGGGGCTTATAATAGCTTATCTAATCCCTCAGTTTGTTAGATAATTTAGTTGATACTTGGGGAAATTATTACATGAATCTTAGTCCATTTTCATGTGTTTTTCATGTCACCTCATTAATGTAGGTTCCAATATTTATTATTGTATTAATTTGGTTTTCTTGTAGAACCACGGCCTACCACACGGCTTACACAACCTCCATTGCAGTTCACGGCTCCCATTCCACGGCTTAAAGTCTTCATCAGTAAATTAACCTAATCAGCTCAGCTACTATCTTCATCACTGTAATTTGAGTACAATCAGTAATTAAAGGAGAGCAAATCAACCAATCATAGACTCGTCACCAGTCTCCTGTCCTGCACTTTCTTTCAATCACTGTTAAGCTCTTTGGGGCATCCATACCTGCAGATGAACTCTTCCACCACCATCCGGGCTATTGTCGATGTATGTTGGTTCGAGAGCGCATAGGCCTCTACCCATTTGGTGAACGGATCACCAATAACAAGAACATAGGCGTTCCCTCGCTTACTTCTTGGGAGGGGCCCCATCACATCCATGGCGATCCTATCCATGGGCTCTCCCACCTTTTGCAATGTCTTGTAGACCCCCTGGTGCCTTGCTGTGTTACTGTCGTGTAGTTCTTTGAGTACGTCATCTCTAAAACTGGTTGGTAAGACTATTTGCCATCTGCCAAGCTTCCCATCCACTGACTCCCATCGTCGAGACAGTACACAACTACGCACTTTTATTTGCTGCCATTGCGCCCAGTATGTCTTTACAGCGGCTTGCTCTGCTGAGATCGCTTCCCAAGTTGGTCGTTCTCCAGTCTCGACTGCCTGCATTATCAATGTGGTGGAAGGATCTGCCATCTGACCATCCCTCATTTCCTGCAGCGTCCACTTGGGATTCAAGGTAAGTGTCCTGGCAACCCTTTCTTCTTCCCCTCTGATTATTTTCTTCACTGTCAGCTCCTCTGGTAATTCACTTCTTTCTTCCTCTTCACTGGATGTATCGCTTGTTTCTTCTGCCTTCTGTTCCTCTTGGGGTCCACTCCTTTCCTCTTCCCGGCCACATTGCTTGCACGGCTTTCGAGACAGTGCATCCGCACTGTCTCGAAACACTTCTTCCAACCTGTTGACCTCCTCTCCCACCGTCTTGGCATGGACAACGATGTCGTCTAAGTACATGAGCAGAATCTCCCACTGCAACCCAGCAAAGACCCTTTCCATTAGCCGTTCAAAAGTGGCTGGCGCGTTGCAAAGGCCGAACGGCATTACATTCCATTGGTAAAGCCCCGACCTCGTTACAAACGCTGACTTAGCCTTAGCGTCCTCGTCGAGCATCACCTGCCAGTACCCGCTAGCAAGGTCAAGCGTTGAAAACCATTCCGCCCCCGCCAGGGAATCCAAGCTGTCATCCACCCTTGGAATAGGGTAGGCATTCTCAGTGTACAGTCGTTTAAGGCTCTATAGTCAACGCAAAATCTGGTCGACCCATCCTTCTTCCGCACCAGAACTACTGGAGATGCCCAAGGGCTATTTGACGGCTCTATTGTGCCCCTCTCCAACAGTTGTTGCACCTGCTCGTCGGCCTCAGCTCTCTGCCAAATTGGGAGTCTTCTTGCTCGTTGCCGAATCGGTTTTACAGCACCTACTTCAATCTTGTGCTTCACTAATTCTGTTCTACCCAGATCGTCGTCTCCCTTGGAGAATATATCTTGAAAATCCCACAGGAGTTTCTTAACCCTCCATTGGTGACCCTCTGGCACATTCTGGATACTCTGCTCGTATAGCTTAGCTAGATGCTCTGGTAACCTGATGTCTTTATCCTCTTGTCGCTCCAATACAGCCACAGATCCGCAGACTTCATCCATGCCAATGTCTGCATCATCAACTGACGTCAAAGTTCCCGTAGTACTCCATTTGTAGATGGTGACTGTACTTGTGCCAGGGTTGAACACTGTCACCGGGTAGCGCCTTGCTCCCGCATTCACCAGTGTCCTCGCTATCACCAGCCCCTTTTCTCCGACACTTGTTTTGTCGCTTGGCTCGATGATACCCCAGCCAGTCAGCTTCCTCTGCTGCTTCAACACCCCCGGTACTATGGACTCGTGTCCCGGTGGAATGTGGACTGTCTCTTCCACCAGCACACGACAGCAAAAAGAACACGAAGACGTTTCCTTGCATGGAATGGTGTGCTCCCCGATACGAAGTTCCATCCGGTCCAGATCCAACTTGGTTCCCGTGGTGAGTAGGTAATTCATTCTGAGAATGCCTTGGTTGGCTATCGAGCCGACGATGACTTCAACCTTGGTACGTGCCCCCAATTTGCACATTCATGTATGCGCTGCCTTGCACCGGTAGCGGCGTACCATCAGCATGACGGATGACCTCTGCCATTGGTAGCAATTGTGGTTTGCTTTCTCGCCTCATCTTGTCAAACTCTTCTGTGGAAATAATGGTTTCTGTTGACCCAGTGTCTATCATGAACTTAATGGGATATCTGCCGATGTTCCCTTGGACGTAGACACTGTGGGCATGAACTCGATTGTTTACTGGTGGGGAATTCCCTCTTGATAGTCTTCACGGTGACGTTGGCTGGATTTGGGTCTGGTGGTGACGACCTTCCCATGACCCGCTGGGTTGGCCCGCTGGCGTTTCCCGAGCTCGGCTCAGCTTCTTCGAGGGACAATTCCGTCTGAAATGTCCCAGGCCTCCACACTTGTAGCATGCTTCATTCTCAAACATGCACCTTTCTCTTCCCTCTTTCTTATTTCCTACATTGCTTGTTCCACTCTCGTCTTTCTGTGGGGATGAGGTCTGAACCTGCATTGCGTTGGCCAGACCAGTCACCATCGTCTGCAATATACTCAGCTGTTCTGACATGGCCTGGGTCTGCCGGTTGAATTCCTCCCTGGACACAGTCTCGACCTGGCGAGTAGCCCTCATGTTGCGCTCCTGCCGGCCACCATGGTTCCGCTGTCGCTCTGTTTCAAGCGCAGCCCGTATTGCGTCATCTAAGCTCTTCGGGTGAGCCCTGAAAATTCCCACCCGCACTTCAGCATCTTGGATGGCATCCACGAAATGCCCCTTGGCCAGTCTTTCTCGGGAATCTCTGGGAAGCTCTGGGTAAGCCAGTTCCGTCAGACGGCGGATACCCTGGCCGAGTGCTTGAAGGCTTTCATTCACTCCCCTAGTTCTGCTCCTTAATTCCGACAAGAATCTCTCGGCCTGTTCTCCAGGTCCAAATCGCCGATCCAACCTTGTAGTCAGTTCTTTGTAACTCAGCTGCTCGCCCTGATTTCCATCTCCCAGCACCTGTTGGGCTTGTCCCTTCAAGCTAGCTACTAAGAAGTACGCCTTCTCCTCAGCTGTACACGCATTGATCGTGGCGCAAGACTCGAAGTGTGCCTTATAATCCCGCCAAGGGATGTCCCCCGAGAATCGATCCGGGACAAAACTCGGCTTCCGTTGTGCTCGGTGATAGGTGCTTTCCTCTTTCACGCTTGCTTTCCCTTCTTGTTCCACCGTGGGCCCAGGTTTCCTACTCTGGATCGTCGATCCCGCCAACCCTTGCTTCACCTTCGTTGGGGAAGACCTTTCTGGAGGCTGTTGCTGGCTCGACGCACCCTTTGCTGCCAAAACCTGGTGCCACGTGCCTGCCCGCTCACTTGAAATCGGCTTCTTCGTGCTTCCCACCTGTCCTTGCCCTCCAGCTCCGGCCCAGGACAGGTCGCCAGAAGTGGCCGTGAAGACTTGTGTTCCGCTCGCAGGTTGCATTACCGTTGCTGCAAACCCCGGCGAAGTCCTCATCCCTGCCGTCATTGTGCTGAAAACCAGTGGCACATATGCCCAACGGCAGTAGTTCCTGGTGCAGACACAGCTCCAACTTCCAATCCCCTCGTTGGGAGTTCCTTGTGTCTTGCTCCCTCTGGGTTCCAGTCCCTGATTCCTCCGATCGTTGCTGGTTGCCTGTGGCCTATTGTGGCTCTCGTCCTCTGCCCAAATGGATTGATTGGAGTAGACGCCTGCAGTGGGCTCTGCATCCATGCAGCTGCACTTAACTCTCCGGCGTTGCCCATCCAACCATGCTGGGCTGCCTCCTGCCTTTTCTCCACACTGCTTGCAGCTTGATCCCTCCACCCCTCCGGAACAGTTCCTATTATTCCAGTGAACCCACTTGACGCTACTTCAACGTGCGCAATGGTTGTAACTGGATAGGCCTGCTGCTAAGGCGGTGCTATGATGGGCTGATTCCCGATGCTCTTATTAACTGCCATGTTGTACCCAGATGCCACTTGTGGTGAAGTATTGCTTCCCTGGTATCGAAATTCCACTCCCGAGTCGACTTCTTGCACACGAAGACTCGTTGGTGTGACGAGTCCTGGCTCATCTCTTCGCTCCATCCTGAGTGATCCCGCTCTCCTTGTTATTCCCTAGTAGATCACTTCCCGTGCTTCCACTGAAGTCCTTCTTGGTGGATCCCACCGCTGCCACCAATGTGACGTTGTCGTGCCAGCTCTCCTTCGTCAGGCTGGTTTGATAGGTAGCGTGCCGCCTCGATGGTGTCCAGTCCCCGCAGCGATGGGCCACGGCACAAGTTATCCTCAGTGGAATACCGTCGGTGGAATCCTCGGTGGAATACCGCCGGTGGAAGGTTGAAGGTGTTTGTGGAATGGGATTGCGGAAGCGGAGTAGGGAGGGGGAATCCCTGAGATTTGTAATCCTCTCAGGCCCTCTTATCTACCCTGGGACTTTGGCCCTGACATTCGGTGATTAGCAGTCTAAGTAGCAATAATTTGAGCCAGTGGAATGAGTGGAATCAGAGTCAGGAATCACAAACAATGGTCAAGCCTTTAATCAATCCTCATCATCATCCTTATTTGTCTAGTATTACTTGAACCCCAATTACTTGTTCCAATCATTAAGTTATCGCTTGAATCATCTCTGAATCATCTGCCTAAAATCCTGTCGTGCAGCTGCTTTTATACCCCTGAGTTCACCCGGTAGCCTATGGCCCCAGTACAAATTCAGTCTGCTATACAATAGTGCCTAAGTCCAACTGACCAATCAGCGATCAGGATCTGCCAATATGCAAAGTGTGGGTGACTCGATGTAATACAGTCATTATACAGACAGTGGTTGCATTGAATTTATCACATACACTTCGTGCTCCGTCACAATATCGATAAAAAACGCCGAAACATTAATCTAAAAGTTGGCAGGTTAGGTGCAAACATGACTTTTGATCAGCTCTGCAATTTTCAATAAAATCAAGTCTAACAAGCCCATATCAGGTGATAAATGATAAAACATGACCTTTCGACAACTGGCAGAGTGAAATATAAAAAAACCTCTAAAACACAAACCACCAGACAAAATTATTATCTTAAAAACTGACAAAAAGTTAAAACATGACGTTTGATCAGCTCTGGGAACGGGGATGTCGTCAAAATTGCTCAGAAATAACAATATATCCGGAAAAAAGATCACACCCGACTTCCGACAACTGGCAGTAATTGACTATCAAATATGCAATTTTCAATACAATTTCTCAAACATAACAATTCCATATCCGGAAAAAAATTGATAAACTTCTCCTTTAAAACAGCAACCCTGAAAAATCAACAACCCCTCCCCAATTTGTACCCTAAACCCAAGCTCCCTCTGATAATTACCCTTACCCTTACAATTGACATGCGAGGTCGAAACCTGACGTTTGATCATCTGCAAAAATTTAACAGAAATCACCCAAGGTAGAAAATTTCACTCTGCAAAAATAAACAAAAAGTGAATCCCAAAAATACCCCCCTCCCCCCAAAAAAGGCCACCCTAAAAACCAAACCGATTAACATGAACCTACAAATTGACGTCAGGTCCAAACATTAGATTTGATCAGCTCTGAAAAAAAAAAAAAATCATAACCACTTAAAATGATAAACTTTAAAGCAGTCTTTTTGACAGTTTGCAGCCTGAAATAATTTTAGAAAAACGGGACAAACCACCCTAACAGCCAAAAGGATTATAATTTTTCCCCTAAGCAAGGTTGAAAAACGAGTTGAGATCAGTTCTGAAAATTTCACCAGAATCACTCAAGCATATCATTCCATATAGAAAATATTTCTTTCTAAACATCAACAACTCTTTCTTGATAGTTATCATTCACTTCTATTTAACAGTAAGTATAGCCTTCATATATACATATATATCAGATTTCTCTTTTATTCGTAGTATATTATTATTGTTTTGTTAATACTTGATATCACGTTTGCAGTATGATGTGTTATTGTATGCTCGAGATGTCTTGGGTTGGGCTGCCAAAATCACCAAGACTGGATATGGTTTGTCTATGTCTGATATGACCCTCTACTGTAAATGTCATTTTTCAGTACTGTGGCAGCATAATCATTATATACGCAATCGACTCTATATTTGTAGACGTAAACAACAGTCCAAATCCAATCTAGGCTTAGAATATGACCACATGGTGGTACACAGAGAAATCTGGGCAAGGAAGAGGGTCGATCGTTATTTACACTCCAAGAATGAAAAAAACTGATATATTGGGCAAACAAAAACAGGTGAACTATGTATAAATGACAATCAGACAAATAGACCGTGGGCCAGAAATCCTATCTCGCCTAGAAAATGAAGTCCGTTAAAAATTTTTGGTGGCAAGAAAAAAATGCTTGTTCTTTGTCAATTCGAGGGTGCTGAATTCAATTCTTCCTGTTGCCGAGCTGTTAAGTGGCACGTTTAGTCACACTCCCCGTCCAAAGTTTGATCCCCCCCAAAAATCTATTAGGGGTCCCTAGCGACCGATGGCGGTATCCATCCCCTTAAAGTTCTCAGAAACGGCTACTCCGATTCAAATGCAGATCGTCACCCACTTAGAATAATTAATGATTATTAACTCTATAGACTTGTAGGTTCATATACAAGGTGGTTTCTTAATTACATGTACTTTAATTAATATGCAAAAACAATGTTCATATGCTCATATATGTTTTATTGCAATTGGCACATAAGGCATACATGTAACTGACTTTTCCATATAAGGCATGACTGACCTTTTCTGTTATTGTATACGACTGCATTATATAACTAACCTAAAACAGTTGTTATATTGATGCCAAGGAAAAATATCATATTAATGGTTTTATTGTTGTGATCATTAAATATGAAATTATGCACAAAATAACGCTTTGGCCATATTCAGTGTTTTTTATGCCAATAAATAGTTTGTTCAAGGTATCACTGAAATTTTGCATGTGAGGCTGAAAGTATTGAATTACATGTACATTTATGTCATTAATCCAAAATGAGCTGTCTCCAAATTTAACATAATTACATAATTATGGTAATTAATTGTGCAATTTTGCAACAAATTGGATTATAACAGCACTAAGTTTTAATCTTAAATGTTTATGGAAGGAAAAACTATTTGGAGAAGACTGACTTATTTCATTTACCTAAAGTAAAGTCCTTGATGCAAGCAATAAATGGTAATTAATTCTCAAACTATCAAAAAGTAACGCTAAGTTGACCACAGTCAACACTTTGTACCACCCAATTTTTTTTGTTTCAAGATATCACCGAGTTTTCCATACCATATGAAGTTCAAAGACTTATTTGCAGATTACCAAATTATGTCATTTACCTAAAATAGAGTATTTGGTTCCAACAATGACCTAATTGGAAAGGTTTTATTTTGTGGTAATAAATTAATAAATAAGCAACAAATAAATCTTTGGCCATACTTAATATGTTCTTCTTAAAAAAAATTCTTCAAGGTATCCCTGAATTTGCCATTAACACAAAAATTAACTGTCTAGACCTGGAACTTCCATAATTCCAAATACATATATGTCATAATTATTGTAATAAAGTATGCAATTATGCAATAATGGATTGTCAAGGCATTACATATATTGAGTTTTTCACTTAAGTGTGGAGCTGTTGCGCTCGTCTCAAGCATCAACTTGGGTCGACAGAAGGTAGAGCTGGAAGAACTATTTGTAGATGAGGAATTGTCATAAGCCTACAAATATACTGTTGGAAACTGGAAATTTGCTGTAAAAAACAAACCAAAGAAATATTCTTCCTGAAAGACATGATGGCAAATCACGTTTCTGCTGTCTACACCATGCCAAAAAAAAGCTATGCATATTTACAAGTACATGTAGAATGAGCAAACACATAAATATGGCTGATGATGAATACTGGTATGTAAACTTTTCTGTACTACGATAAGTCCCTGTGTCTATTCATCGTCTTCAATGTCACTTTCTTCGTCATCGCTGGACAGGCATTCGATGTCTTCAGTAGTGGTGTTCTCACAATCACTGCAACGACACAAGTCTGTACACGGCAAGTCGCCTGCCACACAAGAACAAATTCGTGACTTGCAATGTCCCTTCTTGCATTTACAAGAAATGTTTCGGCGGATAGTTGCATGCATATTAAGTTATCCAATTTACATGAATATAATGTGATGGCATGCCCATTTATTTATTATTTTTTTAAGTATCCTAGTATTTTCTACAATTAAAGGCACTATATCCTACAATTAAGGGCACTATTACTGTGATCTGACTTTAGTCACACACTTAATAATATTCCATAAAATAGGAAAATATTATCACCTTGCACATTGACTAGCTGCCATGCTCTAAATCAACAGAAAATAATCCAAACGTCTAGCCACTTTTTATGATAAAGAAGGTTCTGCATTGATTTTTTTTTTGGGGGGGGGGAGTAACACAACATTGGTGATAGCTTCAATGTCTTACCTTGATGTAATTCTTGTGGCATGATCTGTGATACCGGACTTCGATTGCCACCATGTCTTGACCTTAATTATCAAGAAGGATGGATTCATCATTGAGTAGTTCAGCAGCCTTGAGAAGTTGTCCACCTGAAAAATATAGTGAAAACAAAATCTGGTTCAAAGTGGTTTCAACAATTATGTGGAAATGTCTTTCCATTTATATGACATTATGGTGGTGTCACACTTTATATACATGTACATGTAATTATGACTGTACCTTTTTCATATTCGCACTTTGTGAGTGGCTCTTTTTTCCGCGGTCCATATGGCGGCTGGATCCATTTGCTCTTCTTGTATATGATGCACTCCACTGGTAGAGCATGCCTGGTCCTTTGCTCTTTCTCTCCTGTGCGTCTTCTCTTGCGGGGGATTACCACATCTCCTGTGCCATCACCTCCTTCACTAGTTGAGCTCTTTTCCATCCTCAGTTTTGCTCGCTTTATTTTTGATACATTGCAGAATCTGTTGAAATGAGAACGAGACAGATGAAATATTTGGCAATGAAATGGCTGATTGGATTTAAATAATAGAGATCCGAAAGTTTCAGTTAAAAGTATGTTTGTAATCAAATCATACTTCTTGTAGAAGTAGAATTAATTATTTTCCCTTCGTAATCGATATCCCTCATGTCCGTGGCTCTTCAAAGAAAAATACAGAATGTCCGAAAACCAACCTGTCTATAGTCTGGCTCTTACAGCCATGGATCCCAACATTGAGTATTACAAGAACCAGACAATGCTATAAAGACTAACAACAGAGGTTGACAATTACGTTACAGCTGCTGTAACGATAGCCGGTGTGAAACAAATAAGTGAAAGATTCCCAGATCTGGCCATCACTACTTTTTCCTTCAGTGACCTATCAGCCATCAGAAAGTAAAATCAGTCTTAAAACTTAGCACTGCAGGGAAAATATTGAAGTATTTACTGAGAACACAATTCCAAATTTTAAGACCAGTTTCATATGTTTTGACTGTAAAGGGTGACAAGTGATGGCCAAATATGGTTATCTTACCCCCAAAATACTCAATCATTGTCAGATTGTCATGTTTGTCCAATCCTATTTTATTTTCAATGTAGGCCCTACTAATAGCAAACACAACCTATTTATTTGCTTTAAAAAATGACTTCAGTTACGTATTAAAATAGTATAAATAGCCCTACCCCCCAACTACGATGATAACAATTAACATTCGACATGTTTGGAATTGGAAACTTACATCTGGCAGTGGTACTAGCAATGCCGGTACGGTCATGACGGTGGTAGCCGTACTCGGCCTTTGGTCGTTCGTTTTTCGCTATATCTTTGCTTTTTTGGGCAACTTCCCTCTCCTTTCCATCCAATTCTTGCCATTGCTGACAACAAGTTACAAACGTCTTCCAGCACGTCTCTGAAAATGGTGAAATTTAACCGCTTTCTTCGCCAACGTTGCAAACGCACGTCCTGCCGACGGGCGCCGCCATGTTTCTCCTGACATCCTCATCCCCGGGAAAATTAACGCAATTTTCTAAATCGGTTACGAAGCGCTGATTCGAGGTTGCAACATACCGCCCTCAATCGGCGTTCAAAAAAACATCGCCGACGCGACGGGAAAGTGGCAATTTTCTACCTTGATTTTCACATTAGTTTGCAGGGTTTTCTGCCGGCAACATCAAAAATATTAATCAGTGTCACAAAAGGAGTCCATTAGGAAAGAAAAAAAGTTGCCACCAAAAACTCCGAACGATTCTGCACGCTACGATTTCTGGCCCACGGTCTAAAAGCTTCCACCAGTAATATTGCTTTAACTGTATTATTCACATCTATCTTCATGGAATACAAGGGAAACTTTTTCCCCCTTTACCAATTAAAGAAAAACACACACACATCACCCCGGCAAAAACAACAAAGACACAATTGAAGCATTTATCCATTAAGTATTCATAAGTAAAACAAAATCTATTACAATTACATATATGCAAAATGACATGGGACTCGGTTCTGGTTTGGTAGGAGGGGAGGGGTTTGAAAGCAGTGGAGCTGGAGCCAAAAAAAGCCAATAAATGATCCAATACAAAGGACCATGAAACTTGAAGATTTGCATTGTAGGGAAATATCAATAAGTATAGTCTTCGTTACTGTGACATCATGTGAAAACTAATTTAATAAGATCTTTTGAGTTTTGAAAGGAACCCGCGTTTGACAAACATTTCCACCAGTTATTTAAATGAATTTGTTAAATCACTGGTTATTTTTAGAACCAGACAACTCAAAGGGTAACCTCTTACATGTAATCGACGCATAAAAACCCCTTAATGGGACATTGAAGGTAAGTCATTTGAAATAATATTCACTACAGCATTAATTGTGCTTTATATAAGTGGGATTGTAAATAAACACAACCATACTAAATGGCACTGGTCTATAACACAATGTCCTCTCTGTCCTTCGCAATCTTTTTGAAAGAAATTCCTTTAAACAAATGCAAATAAAATAAAAGGCAATTCATGCATGTACATGTACTGCATACACGCATTGCAAAACTATACTCCCTTGCGAAAGGCCCAAGAACATAATTGCACAGGGTGAGAAGGAATGTTGCCTCTTTCTTGATTTCTTACAAAGTATTTAGGGTTTTTTTTTCTTACAACATCATTAACAAATAGTCGCATTCTCTGAATCCACTAAAGATGAAATGGATCAATTGTTGGGCGCCAGAAAATTGTTTGGTAAAGGAACAACACTAGCCGACTTGCACCCACTCATGATGACCAATAGCTAAACAAATCTGGACTGGAAAAAAGAGTTAAATTTGGAGCAGTACTTGAAAAACAGTTAGGTTAGGCTGGTCGACCACTGTTGGAAAATAATACAAAAATACAGCTGTCTTTAATGACTTTACACCAGATGCCATAATTTTACAGGATTATTTAGACTGTCATTTACCAACATTCTAGTAAGCTAATTTGTAAAAATTTGGCCGTTTTGTTTTCCTATGATTGAAAATTTTGTATATTATCTTTTAGAGTTGTTCTGCAGGTTTAGCCAGTCTTCCGAAAAATCTTTGCTAAGTCGACAGACACTAGACAACTCCCAGAAGATTGGATTAATGGTAACATCATTCCTGTTTACAATATATTACTTAAAACAAACACTGCAAACTTGCAAATTGCTCTTCACTATGATTAAGAAACACAACACATACGTACAGCACATGTGCAAGAGCTAGCTGGGTCACTGTATGCATGGAACGTTTGATACCACACACAAATTGTCAGAATCTTTTCAACCAACGAGTTAAAATGGTTTGATTGCATTTACATAAACAGTATAAGCCTGATTGTTGATACATGTCCATAGCCTATTTAATGAATGTCAGTTAACCAAAACAATTGTGACTCACGGAAAATGTAAGGCCCCAACATAGTCAGTGGGATAAGGGCATTTAATCACAAAATTAAGTAACACTTAATTGTGTTTACGGCACAGCATGTCTTTGCTATGGTTGAACCAGTCAAGTGTTCTGCTAGGCTGTGGTCAATGCAACAGTTTCAATTGTTGACAAACAAAAACCCAAGGGTTTTTATACCCGGCATGACATGAGACGGAGGGGTACCCCCTACATGTCCAATCCCTAGACACACTCTAGACAACTGTTACCGACCACATCCCCCTAGATGTCTGGAAGGAATTCCTGTGATTCCGATCAAACAATGACCGACGCAAAGGTAGGGGGGTGCTCTCCACCCCAATTCTTGCTTCATGCGAAGAAGTTCGGGCGCTTGGTTATGTAACCACAGGCGCAAGCCATGCACATGAGAAGTGTATTGTGTGGTCACAATTGCCTGGTAAAAAAAAAGATAAGTGGGGCTACAGCAGTTAATAACCAACATTAAAGTGAGCAGGAGCGAGCGACAAGTTTGTTTGCCACCTCCATCTCATCCAACCTACCAGCTAAAATGACCCATCTGGTTTGTGTTCTCCAAAGATTCGGGGGTCCTTTGGGGGGGGGGGGGGCCTGTCAAAGACTGTTAAGCCATAATATTATTGTTTGTTGGGACATCCAAAAATGGTGATCTTCAGTCGCACAGTCGGTATCTGTGCCATCCAGCTCCAAAAACTGTTATTTTTTTGTCCCTTGTCTTCAGAAACTGCCAGCATGGTAGTGCCCACATACCCGTATTCACATATTAATTCCATATAGGTAAGTATCTGGCAACATATGCCTGATATTTTTAAAGGTTCTGATGACTCAGCAAGTTTGTGGCTTATCTTTGTAGGACTCATCTATTATGTTAATGACGATGTTGAACATTGCTTATAGGTCATTTTTAACGTGTCAGATTGAATTATTAATAACAATTTAACTTTGTGTGTGGTACATGTTCTTTATAGTTCAATTTTAGCAGGTTTAGATTGGCCTGACATTAGCTTGTAGGTGTTTTTTTTTTTCAGCGAGGTATTGAAAGAATATCCATTGTTTTGCCCGTCTTACATCCAAGCATGTTAAAAAAAGCAGAAAAAAAATATTTTTGCCATCATACTGCAAGAGAAAGCACACTACAAAATGGGAAACCTATTTGGGACCATTTTGGTATCCCATCGTCGTCTACTTCTCAAAACTCAGTTCTACGGCATCCGAGGAAACATCCTGAAATGGACAACAGACTTCCTGAGTAACCGCACCCAACAAGTTCTCCTAGAAGGCCAGACTAGTTCTGAATCCAATGTGACATCTGGTGTACCACAAGGGAGCGTCCTAGGACCCCTGTTATTCTTGATATTCATCAATGACCTACCAGAACGCGTCATCAACTCTACAACCAGACTCTTAACAGATGACTGTGTACTCTACAGAAGAATTTCATCACCTGTAGACAGTGCCTACCTTTAAGAAGATCTGAATGCACTTCAAGAGTGGGAGACTGAGTGGCTCATGGAATTCAACGCAACTCAGTGCCAAGTCCTACGTATCACCAACAAACGCACTCCAATCACATCGACCTACACCATCCACGGGCACGAATTGGAACTCGTAGACTCGGCCAAATATCTAGGAGTGCATATAGACTCAAAGCTAAACTTCAACATGCACGTAGATACAGTCACCAAGAAGGCAAATTCTACCCGTGCCTTCTTGAGCCGCAACCTCAGTCATTGCAGCCGAAAGGTCAAGGAAAGTAGCTACACCATGTTTGTCAGACCAATAGTAGAATATGCATCAACATCATGGAACCCCCACACTCAACGTAACATAAAAAAACTGGAACAAGTTCAGCGTAGTTCAGCAAGATTTGTGACAGGCGACTATGACTGGTCAAGCAGTGCTACTGACATGATCAAAGATCTCCATTGGCGTTCCCTAGCTGATAGACGGTACTTAGCTGGGCTGGAAATGATGTACCGCATTCGGTTTGACTTGATCGACATCAAATGGTCCCAGTACCTCATACCATCCACAACTACCACCAGAGGTCATGCGTCTCGCTTCCAGTGCCCATACTCAAGCTCACAAGCGTATACCAACTCCTTCTTTCCTCGCACACGGCGTGACTGGAACACACTTAAGAAGGACCCTGCAGCATCTCATCCCTTGACGCCTTCAAGTCTGCGCTAAGGGATCAATCAGTGATGTAAACCACATACATCACTTTTTACTCTGCACATCTGTACATACTGCACCTGCACGCATTCACGCACACACACCACAGTGCGATTATACTCATCCTTTGAGGACTGCACTCCATGGAAGGAAGGAAGGATTGCGGAGAAGATTACGGGTTTCTTCAAGAAACTCATCAAGATGTGTGATGAATTCATCCGCTTCATTGGCAGTAATTAGAGTTGACCTGGCACGGTTGACCTGCCTTTTTAGGGATTCAGCACTGCAAAACATGACATAAGTTAAATTGTATTTGCATGTATCTACATGTAACATACTTATTATATTAGTCGTGATAGTTGGACTCCGGCAATAAAAATTTAGAAAAATGTTGTCATTTTGAATATATAAAAAACAAAATCAGAAATTTCTTAGCTGCCTAAACCTAAATAAACCTACTAGTTATTAACTGAGATTAACGTTGTAACTTGTATCGAGAAAATAATTCCATACACGGATGTCACTTTTCAACAATAAATTTGAGCCCCAAAAATTTGTTTCCTGTGTGTTTGTCATTCAAAAACATTGGAAGGACACTGTACAACATGTGTGGTCATCGTACATGTACATACACACATACATGTGCATTGCAATCCCAGTATACATTTTTGCTTGTCATGAAACAGTCCTTGCTGCATTGTCTGATCTGCACACCACAAAATGCTTTTAACCGACGTCATCATCACATCGTCACACTGGTCACATTTCACGAATTTTGTCACCTTGCAATTAAATGAGCTGGAGTATCATCGTAGCACAATTATTTCATCTTGACTTTTGAGATGTAAAGAAGACAGTAGGCATGGTACTTGGTAGCTCTACTAAGTGGAGCGCTGAATTACGGTACCCATCCGTACACCGTACTAGCTACAGATGATTAGTGGTATGGATAGGTACCATAGTACAGCGCTCCACTAAGTAAAGCTAGGCTTAGGTACTTGATTTAGCGTGATTTTTAACAACTTTTGTTGGGGACTCAGGAGAGGTGAGGCAAACTAGTGGTAACTTTTAGAAATTGAACCTTGCGGCATATATTTGTGTTGAGTCTCTTATAGTTGTACGTAGACCAATGTCCAAAATTGAGACCATGGAGACCGAGTTATTAATCATTGAGGATCCTGCTGTTGTATTCAAAAAGAA